CTAGAAAGGTTTTTCAGCCATGCAAGTTTTCAACACATGTTTCGACTAGAAAATAAGCAAGCCAATGAAAAGGCCCAGGCAGCCTTAGGGCCAAGGATCCCAAAGGGGAGCCAGGAAAGAGTAATCAGGATTCAAAAGAGGAATTTTTCCAGATTAAGGGATCGACATAAAAACTTCCTGCCAGTGATGCATTTAGAAGTGGTAGAGGAAGACAGGAGATACCCTCTGATTAAATACTTGATGAGTCCTAATGAGAAGGTTAGTAGGCAGGTTAAGTACCAAGTCTTGAATTATGTCATCATGGGGGATGAATTGTTTAGGAAGGCCCATGATGGTACGACATTGTTGTGTGTAGGGCAGAATGAACAAATGAAGGTTATGAATGAGATGCATGAGGGCATATGTGAAGCCCATCAAGTTGGAGAAAAAATGAGATGGATGGTCAATAGATATGGCTATTTTTGGCCAGCAGGGGAGGTAGAGGAAGAGAGATGCTAGCAACAGTGCCAATCTCCCCTGGGGCATCAGCTATTGAAAAGGGTGCCAAAAGAGAAAAAAAAAAACTGTAAGTACAAGGGAACAAAGTAAATAGCAAAGAGAAAAATAAGGAAAGCGCATATCTTGTAGATTTGGCCTTGTCGATGGGAAGGAGAGAGGCAAGACAGGTATTCTTCCAATGGCCTGTGGAAGATGACAGCACTAAGGATGGTCCACCAGTCCTTAAATCTGTTGCTCATACCAGCATTGGCTGAGAAAGCATAGAAGCCGGGTTGGTGTAGGAGTTTTCGGTTCTCAGTCAAGATGGCATAAGGAAATGGTTGCTCAATAAATTGAACCCTAGCATTTACATACTCGTGTATGGTAGGATGGACATAGGGAAGAGGAATACTCTGGATTAGGCCAAATTGCCTGGCCCATTGACAGGAGTTGTGGCTTTCAAAGCTACAGGTAGAATGTTTGTTATTAGAAAGGTAGCACCCCACCAAGATGTGCCTGGGTGTAAGGCAAATACTCCAAATTATTTTTTGAGCTTGCGTTTGATCATCTGTTAAGGAGGTTGGGTCAGCATACATGTAGGATAGAGAGACAGAAGAAAAGAGAAAAGATTGGAAAGGAAGGGAAGGAATTCTATCGATAGTAAAGTTGAGAAAGGTTGAAAAATAGGGAAATTTGGCCATAAACCCCTCTTAACTTTCTTTTCTTGTTAAAAGGACAAAAAAAAATTAAGTACTTTCAAAACCCCCTTCTAATTATGAAATTTTGTATAAAGGACAATTTGTTATTTGAATATTTTATTTAACCATTATATCCTCTTTTTCTTCCATTTCTTTTGCGCGCGCGCGCGCGCACACACACACACACACACACTCTCTCTCTCTCTCTCTCAAACCACCAAGGATCCTCTAGAGTAAAATTTTCCTAAAATTTCCTAGAGTGCTATATTGTGTGGTTGAGATTTACTGGCAAGTCACATCAGAAAAATTGATGTGACTTGCTAGTAAATCTCAACCACACAATATAGCACTTTAGGAAACTTTAGGGAAAAATCACTCTAGAGGATCCTTGCTCCTCTCAAACTCGATGGTTGTTTATCGTCTCCACCATCTTCATCATCTATCAGCGTCGCTCATCCTCATCATCATCATCGGCCGACAACCACCATTTTTACCGTTAAACCACCACCATCTTAGATTTGATACCTACGAACTCATATTTGAGATCAATAACTTCAGATCAGAGATAAAAACAAACTTAGATTTGACAGAAAAATAAGAAATCGAGATATTTCAATGAAAAATTAAGAGTTCTTTGTTTGTTTGTTCATAGATCTAAAAGTAAAATTTAACTCTGGTTCGTTCATGTAATATGTACTATGTTTTCTTAACAGTAAAATTTTACTCTGGTTAACAACATACTTATCTGCTTAAGGACAGTAAAATTTTACTTTAAATCATAGTAAATTTTACTCTAATTCGGAGTAAAATTTTACTCTTTCTTTTTTACTTTAAAATTTATTATGATTCAAAGAAAAATTTTATTCTGAAATAAGTTGTAAGGATGGCTTTACAGGAGTGTTGTGTCATGAATTCATAGTAAAATTTTATAATTGAAAGAACAAAGCATCATGAGAAGAAGAAGAAGAAGAAGAAGATAGAGAGATAGAGAGACAGAACTCGAAAACAGAGGATCAAGAAAAGAAGAAGAAGAGAGAGAGCATAAATGGTGAGTCACACACTCACACACACATACACAAATTGTGAGTCACACACACAGAGCGCACGGACCATCAAAACTAGAGAAGAGAGAGAGAGAGAGATATCAGATTTGAGGTTTGCCAACCATCGCACACACACAGAGAGAGCGCACGGACCATCAAAACTAGAGAAGAGAGAGAGAAAGATATCAGATTTGCGGTTTGCCAACCATCGCAAATCGTCATTTTTCGATGACGACAATTGTGAATGATCTCAGATCTAAAGTTGTGGATGCAACAAATGATGGTGGTGATGAAGACAGTAGAGAAAGAGTTCCATGGTGAGCGGCAGTGGTGCCGATGGAGAGTAGCGATGGCACTGATGAAAAGAATAGTGATAAGTGTGAGATAGAGAAAAGAGAGATTGAGATGAGAGAGTGATTACAAGTTGACACACACACACACATATATATGAGGGTATTATAGTAAAAGAAACATTTTTTAAAATATTTGAGGGTTTTGAAATGATCTATATAATTCTTGTCCTTTTGAAGAACAAGTTAGACACTAAAGGGTCTATTACCAAATCTCCTGGGAAAATACTGTGCAAAAGTGATAGAAGGAGGAGGTCGATGGGAAAGAAAAAATTCAGCATAAGTTTCACATTTAGGAGTATAACCTACTCTCCTATTAGACCTGATTTCTGAAAAATAAGCAAGAAACCAGGCCTGAAAAAGCCAGAAGGGGCCTCCCACACTCTGACTAATCTTTTTGTCATGAAGGGAAAAGAAGCCTCTATACATTGTGGCCAAAAGGAAAGGGGCAAAGGCTAATTGTCGACCTTCTTGGATCAGAAGAGCTAGAGTGAAGTATTCTTTGGTAATCCTAAGGCCACCCACACAAAAAAGGAAGTAGCATAGCCAATATAGGTAGAAAGCATTTTTTTCAGTTACTGTGGGTATGCAGTTTTCTTATAATAGTCCGAAATAAACTTGTTATAACTGCTTACTTTAACATCATGCTTGACCTCTGGGGTTTTTAAAAGGGCATGAATATCCTAGCCAATGGCAAGAAGGCCAGTGAGATGCATAACATCAAGGATGGTAGGAGAAGCCATACTAGACTTGAGCATCATGGAATTGCAAGATGTCGACCAGAAGCAGGTGGTCGCACCAATCAGCCAAGGGTCCATCTCAAACGAAACAGTGGATAGTTGGATGGCATGATAGATACCCAGATTTTGCCACATATCCCCTTCAAAGGGGGTCATCCTCTTCGCCCAAGCTTTCCAAGCTTTAGTCGGTTTGGGCCATGATCTGGTGCCCGTCAACCAGTTCATCCATGAGAGAGAAGACTGGTCTAGAAGAAGAGTTTCTCCATCAACAATGGGGTAGTAAGGGTATAGACCGTCTGGAAACGTGATCAGAAACACGGGCCAAGTTTTCCAGCACCAACAGTAAAACTGGTTGTTATTTGAGAGTCGAACTTGTTACTCTCAATAAATTGAACAATTTCATGGGGAACTGGCGAACCAGATCGGAACTAGAATTGGAACACATGACTGGAAACTTAGGTTTTTTTTCGAAGAGGAAGAGTTTGTTGCAAGAAGGGGAGGAGTGCTGCAAGAAAGAAGGAAGGAAGTAATGGGGAGGGAGAATTTGAAAAGCTTAAGTACCATTGTGTGGGGCCCAAATGAAAATAGATTGGATAAAACAAATAATGTTAGGGGCCTGAGACAAAGATAGGCCCAAAAGGCCAATAAGAGGCCAAAAAAGGGTGTAAAATAATTTCATAAAACAGAGATAGTCCCAGAAGGTCAGTAAGAAGCCTAAAAAGGAGGAGAATGATGTTGGCCCAAAAAAGAAAAAAGGGGTTAGAAAGAATAAATCATTCAAGGCAAAAGAGCTTTTTACCTTGAATGAAGGGGGGCATTGTTGATGCTAAAAGTTGGATTCCTCCGTTGATAGGGTGTAAACAAGACATAGAGAATGACATGGCATAGGTGACGTGGAAAGAACATAAAGTATTGGCCAAGATGGTGTGAAAAAATGATGGGATAAGAGATAAAGAAGAAGCGGATCAAAGAGGAATTTGAAATTCAAATACAACTCCTGGAATGAAGGGATAAGCATGCAAAGAATCCGAGGATCAAGGAAGAACAAGATCGAGAGCCTACTCAAGAAACAAGTATAAAAGAAGGCTGAAGGCAGAAGAAAAACATCTCAAACCTCATTGACAAGGCGTGATATTTATATAGGAGTAGGTTAACTTAGCACTTCTAGGAGTAGAACAGTGACAGATTTTTCCAACCCCCCCTTCTCTTCTTCTTCTGTTGATTGCTGTATTTTTTCAATCTTTTGTTCTTGTTTAAGTTCTTGTAACTAATGACAAGTAACAATTCATTCCAATTAATACATATTCTTTTCTGTTTTATCTCTTCTTTGCCTAACTAACTCCAGGGAAGTACTTAATCTGTTTAAGACATACAACTCAACCACAAAGCCTAATTTTTTATGTGTGTTTACTTGAAAGTTATTTGAGTCTGTCGATCAAATCATTGTCAATTGGGCTTAAACTAAATTTTTACCGGCAGATGGATAATCACAATTCTTGAATACAGAGACATAAATTGATGATATTTTTTTTTTTTCAAAAAAAGAAACTCTTCAGGCATAGAAAAATAGAGATGGATTAATGAACTTGACTCTGGTTGTCTATTATTATCTGTATCATCTCCGATTTGAACAACAAAATAAATATATATATATAAAAAAAAACAATTAGTGAGGCGGAGGAGAAGAAGTACTGGTGGTGATGGAGCGAACAGCATTCCAGATGTGGGAGAAGGCAGCTGCAACGTGAGGGAAAAGGGTGCCAAGACCACGAAGAGTGGCCCCGGAGGCGACACCGATGACGAGGGTTTGTGGGTAACCGGGCTTGGAGTCGAGCTTCATTTCAAGATTGATGAGGCGGGCGTTGATCACATCCAGCTGCTTTCTACTAGTTTCCGCCATCACCATCTTCTTGTTGGGGTCGCTACTATTGCTAACCCCCCTGGAGCTGGAAGAGCTGGTAATCCTGAAGAAGAGAGCCTTCTGGAGGTCTTCAATGACCTTGACAGAAGCCTCTTTGCTCTCCAGTCCTTGAGACTCGTAGTAAGCTATCAGCTCTTGCGCCGTCGGTAGCTTTCTCTTCTTCTGGTACTCGGAGTTAGTCTCCTTGTCCTTGTCCTTGTCCTTGTCCTTGGACAATGATCGAGGTGGCTCCATCGCTTCCGCCTGCCCTCCCTCCCTCCCTCTGTTGTATCTATCTATCTATCTCTCCCTCTCTCTCTCTCTCTCTCTCTCTCTCTCTCTCTCTCGCTAATGCTTTTGGACAAACAATGAAATGAAATGAAATTGCTAGCACTGCACTGCCGATTCGGTTTCATCACCGCCCCCACGCAAAACCCTACATACATCACATACAACTTGGTTGGGTTGGGTTGGGTTGGGTTGGGTTGGGGTTTAGAAGATGTTTTCTGGACTGGGCGGCCTTCTTGAAGCGTGGCCCAAATGACTTCACCCAACCCCACCACCCCCATTTCCAAACAGAAAACCACCACATCTAACATTGTAAGTAATATTTATATTTAAAAAATATATATATATATATTAACCATCACATAAATGAATAATATTACTACATATATATGTTTCAAGAAATATATAAAATAGTATATAAATTGGGTATTGAATTTCTAAATCAACACTCAATGGACAATCTTTAACAAGACCTGTAAAAATTAATAAAAACTCAGCAGCATGACAAAATATATCACATAAGATAAGATTGGTAGAAGAATGTCAAGTGTTTTCGTAAAATATATTTCGTCATTCATAACAATCAATCTTCAAGTCAGTTCTCCCATCCCATCATTACTTCTGACGCAGAATTCTTGTTTAGCTCTCTGCACAATGAACATACAATCCTTCCATCTTTTTCTATATTTTTCCCTTTTAATTTTATTTCATATTTTCCTCCTTTCTTTCCCAATAGAATTGTCAAGTTTATATCATCCAAAAGGGCAAATAACTGCCCCAAATGGAACACCCCAAACATGGTGCAAACATCTTTTCATTTGGAGTTCAATTCCTGTAAATGCCAGGGGAATTTTTATGCCCACCTTTTCATTTTGTAATTATGATTATAAATACTCCCAAATGCCTTCTCCAAGGACAAGATATGTGTGCTCCGAAACCCATATACTTGGATTTTGGGCATGGCCTACATAGAACATATAAAAGCTCAGATAACTACCTAACCCAATCCATCAATCATGCACACAATTGAACTCTTTAAGTGCCCAAAAAAAAGATTAAAAAGAAGATTAAAAATGACTCTTCACTAAAGTTAATTTCTTATTCCAATTACGAAAATCTTGTATAACTATGAATCAGGCAACCTCACATCACAATACCCATCTCCATATGTGTAACAAAAAGCAAAATTTAAGGGGGGACTGAGTGCTGTATGACAAAAAGGACTACTTGGTTCTGAAGATTAATAACTCTCAAAGAAAGATGGGAGCCATGACGAGAGTTATCGTCGCCAGCATTTTAATGAGGACGTGAAGCGAAGGCCCTGCTGTGTCTTTAAATGGGTCTCCCACACTGCAAATCGATAGAATAATAAATAAATAAAAAGAGTGTTAAAAATATAAAAGGAAGATGATGCATGTGTTATCAATTATTAGCAACCCCAAAAATTTTACGCAAAAAACATAAATGAAGATAAAGAAAAAGAAAAACACCCGCCAGCATAGAATTGTGGTAGTTTAGGAGTGATCATACAAGATTCTTCCTCCATACCAGCTGACAGCAAACAAAGACAATATGCCGACAACAAAGTTCCCAAAGCCATTTCCCAGCTCAAACCTTGGATAGACAAATGTTTGAGAGCATCACTCAATGAATTAAACACTAATCTCATAACTAATGTCATCAGGGGTATTTCATAGCTTTACTAACATTTTTACCGAGTAAGCCATCTTCACCTATTTACTTAAACTACAGAAAGATGAACTTGTCGAATGCAATATGAGTGACATGAACATGGCTATTTAGGTTCTTCCCACATTTAATAGTGCAGCTATAAAGAAATGAGATTGAACTCATTTCTTCTTCGCCGTCTTCTTGTGTTTGGTTATCTTTCCCTTCTTCCCCTTTTAACTTTTCTGGAAAGTGTAGATTTTAACATGTTCCTCTTAAACAAATGTCTAGTAGCACTATGGACCAAAACAACCACCACCACTACTATTACTACTAACATAAATAGTGACGCAATGCTTACTACCATGACGAGGACTGAAAATATCACAACTATAAATTATAATTACAATGCTACTTACGTATCACCAGTAATTGCTGCTTTATGGCAGTCACTCCCTTTGCCTCCAAGAGCACCAGTCTCTATGTACTTCTTAGCATTATCCCATGCACCACCAGCAGTGTTCAGAAAAAGGGCCATAAGAATCCCAGAAACAGTTGCAAACATCAACATAGCAGCAACCACTTTAGCCCCAAGTAGTGGATGTCCTGTATAGAATCCCAATATCCGGAATACAAGACCTGTATAATGATACAACCAGATTTCACTGACCCATTACACCCTAGCACTTACATACATGAAGGGGGGGAGGGGGGAAACATGATGAAAAAGAGACAAACAATTAGTGACAATGTTCACAGCTTCAACCATATTTAACCCAAAAAGCAAATAAATAAACTTTTGGATTTCAAAACGTCCGTTATTTTCATGGTTAGGTGCCAATTACTAGTACCTAAAACGGATACATGCCAGGCCTTCTATTATATATAATTCCCAAACGATAATTTTCACTTTAAATGCATAAACACTTTTGCCACATGCCATATCAACAACTCCCAAATAAAAAGCTGATCCTGATAAAATAATGATATTTGCCCATGTCAACTGCCTAAATCTTAAATTTTGCAATAATCAAATAGATAGCTTTCTCACAAGAGAAAAAAAGTACATAACTCACCAACAACTATAGGAGAAACAATAGCCAAAGCACCAGGTTTTATCATCTCCCTCAAAGATGCAGATGCCACAATGGCAACACAACGACCATAATCTGGTTTCTCCTTGTAGTCCTGCAGCAAGCATGTTCAATTATAGCATGGAAACCCAGATTCATAGTACAATGTAGAGATCACTCTAGGACTCACCATTATACCAGGCCTCTCAATAAACTGTCTTCTTACTTCATTAACAACCTCTTGAGCTGTTCGGCCAACAGCAGCACAGGCCCATGCACTAAATAAGAAAATAAGCATAGAGCCCAACAATCCACCAACAAATACTTCCGGGATGGCAATGTCAACCTGTACATAGTAAGCAGTTGTAAAACAAAGTCATAGTGCAAAAGTGAAAGAAACATGAGAAAACATACAAAGTGGGGTTACTGTATGAACCTACCTGGTTAAAAGGTACATGAGCAAATGTAGCTACCTCATCCATATAAGCACTGAACAGGAGGAAAGATGCAAGTGCCGCAGATCCAATGGCAAATCCTTTTGTTGTAGCTTTCGTGGTGTTCCCAACTGCATCAAGTACATCAGTGATCGCCCGAACACTTTCAGGCTGTAAGTAACATGTGTTAATTATATGGTCCAAGTAGCCAAAAAGAAAAACTAAGCAGAAAAGTCACACTTTCAGATAGGGTCAACATTTCCAAAGAATCAACAGGGTTACCTGCTGACTCATCTCTACTATGCCACCCGCATTATCAGCAATTGGACCAAACATATCCATGGTGAGAACATAAGCTGCAGTGCTAAGCATCCCCATTGTTGCTACAGCTGTTCCAAACAACCCACCAGTGGGATTTCCAGCATCATCAACCAGTCCAGAAGTTTGACCAAGCCAGAATGCCGAAATAATAGATGCACTTATAACGAGAACCGGAAGAGCTGTGGATTCTAGCCCCAAACTGACGCCAGCAATTATGTTAGTTCCATGCCCTGTGGAGCTAGCAAGCGCTAATGTGCGTACTGGCTCATGCTTGTAATCGGTGTAGTACTTAGTGATCCAAACAAAAACATATGCCGTCATAATTCCAACCAAACCACACAGAGCAAAGTTCAACCATGCTGAAGGTGCTTGTTCAGTATACAGCATCCACCGTGTAGACTGCCAAAATAGTGCAGACAATAATATAGAGAGAGGGAGAGGGAGAACTTCTAGATAATGCAACCAACTTTTATTTGAAAAAGAAACTCAACATGTTCCAGCAGTAGATTAAAACTATTACCAGTCCAAAAGTCACAACGGCTAAAAATATTGTAACAGAATATCCTTTCTGAAGAATTGTCATAGGATCTTCCATGGCACCAATCACTCCGGAATCACGTGTGCCACGTATTGAAAATATTCCAGCTGACGATATCAGCAGGTCGAATGAGTGAACAACGAGAGGAAACAAAATGAAGCCCGATGGATCTGCATGTAAGAAATAAATACCGGATTGCACAAGTTTAAGAAAGTAAGAGAAACCTCATTCAGTACAAGCCACAATTAATCTGTAAGAAGAAGCATCACAGAATACAAATGTCACCAGGAAAAAAAAAAGAAAAAAGAAAAGAGCCAATGGCCTGCTGGTCTACTGGTATCTGGTGAATCCTGAGAAATCACTATAAAGAGGTCATGGGTTCAAAACAATGGGTATAGGGTTAAAAAGACACCTTCACATTTTGTCTAAAAATATTGGAGATGAGGTGATGGCATGTCCCCCTTTTGGAAGGGCACGCCGCTTGTTTTATGTCGGAACTACTACATAATCTCTCGAGGTTAAGGGGGTTACAAATATTACCATTGTGTGGAAAAGAAAAAGGGCAAGATTAATTCAAATGAACTCTTTAGTAATAAAGGACAAGCAATTAACAGAAGCACCACCATAAATAACCCATAGCAAATTTGCAGTGAGAGAGAGGCACTACAGAACTCCATATACAAATATCTATGTATATATAAAGACATTGGTCACTTGCCTTCAATTTTGCAGCGTTGAGCCATTGTTCCTCCAAGTATCATGGCACTAATTATTTCTGCTGCAATACTTTCGAAAAGATCAGCGCCTCGTGCCGCACAATCGCCAACATTGTCCCCAACCTGCAATGTGACAAAAATTAGTTCCATCATCACAGATTCATCACGATGACAAATGAAAAGAAGAATCACACAATTTATGTGGGATTTTATATTTTTCACAATCAATGAGTCAAACACAGT